TTCACCTCTGGGTCTCCCTGACTCCGTCCCCTTCCCAGCTGAGGTGCAGCTCTTACCTTGGGACACCTTTTCCACAGCATCATGGACACTGGGGGCAGGCAAGGGTCGGGCCATTTGTCTCGCTGCCACTTCTGCCCCGTGGCCAGGGTGGCTAGGCTGGGACTTGTTTGCCCCGCTCTGAAGTCTTCTCCAGCCCGGCCTGGGGACGTCACACCGGGGGCTCTGCAGCCCAGAGCAGGCGTTTCCCCTGGCCTGTGAGCTGCCCATCAGCCAGACCCCTGAGAGGTGCCTCACAACCTCAGACCCCCCTGACTGAAGGGCTGGCACTGAGGATGGTGGCTCGGGGATCCGGTGGCTGGGGGACCCTGCGGCCCTGGGGGCAGACTTGACCTGTGGTTGCTGTCCCCTCACCTCAGGGTCGGCGTGCTGTTGGGGGTGTGGTGAAGTAGGACGTGGAATGGAGCTCGCACAGGAGAGCCGCCCAGCCAAGGACTCTTGTCCTCCAAGGGCACCGCACTTGACCCTGAGTCTGTGAAACTGCGTCTGGGATCCCAGGCGGGGGCTGCAGGAGGCTGGGGAAGGACCAGGCTGCACCCCTGTCGGGGAGGTGAGCTCACGTCTGGACCATGGTTGGGGGTGTTCCTGGGCTGCCGGTGGGTGGGGTTCCTGCCTCCCCCCATGACAGGAGCAGGGAGCCGGGTGGGGCAGCCCAGCAGAGCCAGCTTCTCGGGGCAGCTGCACTCCAGCTTGGTTTTGGTTTGGGCGCCTTCGTTTCCTTCCTTCCTTTCTTTTGAATGTTCTGCTGTTTTTTATGAAAGATGCCAAACACCCGAGAGGTGGTGACTAAATACACTGCAGAGGTCCCCGCCCGTGGACGAGCACTGGCACCCCCAGGCTAGGACGCCAGAGACCTGGACGCCAGAGACCTGGACCCCTGAGGCTCAGCTCGGCAGGACTGCGGCCGGCTGAGTCTGCCTTCTGACAGATCCCCCGGGGAGACTGGTCTCTGCTGGGGTCACATTTGAGAGCCCGTGGTTTAGGGAGCACCCTGTCCCCACCACCTGGCCTCAGCACCCATCACCCCAGCCTTGCCCCCCACCCTCCAAGGAGAGCCTATCATTTCCCCCTTCAGTATTTCAGGATAGTATCTCAGCAGAGATGGTACCAGTACTGTGTGAGCTGGGGATGCCAGGACCCCTCGAATGGGGCCACTGGCCTTGGGAAGAGCAAAGGGCTAACTGGACCACCTCTCCTGGGGAAGGGAGTCGATGGGCCAGGGTCTGCCCCATGAAGAAGGTGCTGCCCCATGAGGAAGGGTCTGCCCCGTGGGAAGGTGCTGGCTGAGCTGTTGCTCACCCAGGGCCCCAAGTCCGCAGAGAGTGAAGCCGTTCGACCTCAGCGCTGGAGGGTCCACCAGCCCTCTCAGCTGGGAGCTGAAAACCCACTGACCGGCAGGGTGCACTAGTCTTGTCTCCCAACCTATGTTTTATTTACTTTTTTAAAGCCCAGTGTGGGCTACGCTTCATATTGTAATCCCAGAATCCTGTAACAGTTCAGAATCCCACCCACTTCTCCCCCTTCTCTCCATCCCTTCAGGCCTTCCGGCTTCGATGGCTTTGTCCTCCTCCATGGAGTGGCGGCCTGGGGGCATCTGCCGACTCTGAGACCCTCCAGGGCAGGGGAGGTCTGCAGACACCCATGGGAGGAACAGGGAGCATTCAGGCTGGGTGTGATCCCAGGTGCCACAGCCTCTGGGTGGGTGGCCGGAGGGTCTTCCCCACTCTCCTCTGACTTCTGGCACCACACGGGGTCCCCTGGGTCTCCTTGTACCTCCAAGGTCCTCTTTCCTCACTGCTGCACCTCACAGCCTTAGGCTGACTCCAGCCGGATCCTTTGTGTGCGACTCCAGCTGACACAGAAGCAGGCGCTTTCTGACCCGGGGGTGTTGTGCGACCCTCTCTGTCCCGGTGCCAGCTCCCGGGTTCCCACGGGCAGTGTTTCTAAAACATGGTGGGATCTGCTGCGATTTTGCCAGGAGACTTTAGGACAGGATCCAGATGCAGAAGCCGAGGGCCAGGACATGACGCCTGGGCCCTCTAGCGTTCTGGGCCTTGCCACTTGCTGCTTGTCACCCTAGTCCCAGCCCTGGCTCTGGCCCTTTTCTCTCTGGGCTTTGCTTAGGCTCCTATCCAGTGGGACACCTTGCTCAGCCCCAGGAGGGCATCAGGTTGTGCCCCAGAGCAGTCCCCGCCACACTGTCATGATGCCTGTCAGTTATGCAGTGACTGCCATCACTCTGCCTGTGTCTGAGACAGGCACCCAAGTCACACCTCGAGAGTCCTTCCGTGGCAGCCCGGCTGTGCTCCTGGTGATGGTCAGGAAGCTGTCCTGGGCCCTACAAGCTAAGCACAGACGGTGGGAAGGCGTGCTGGGCGCTGCTGTAGTCAGCTTTTGCATTGCTGCAGTCAAAAGGCCTGACGAACAATTTTAGGAGGAAGAGTTTATCTGGGGCTCACAGTTTCCGAGGTCTCAGTCCATAGACGGCAGACTCCATTGCTCTGTGCCCAGAGGTGAGGCAGAGCATCAAAGGCAGAGGGTGTGGCAGAGGAGAGACCTACGGAGACTAATCTGGACTCACCTAGGAAAAAAACATCTACCCCAAAGACTCAACCCCAGCAACCCCCCTCCTCCAGCCACACCCCACCTGCCTGCAGTCCCCCCAGTTAATCCATAACAGGGGATTAATGCACTGATTAGATTAAGGCTCTCATAACCCAATCACTTCAGCTCCAATCTTCCCTGCATTGCTCACACATGAGCTGACGGGGCAATGGGACACGACTGGGACCTCAAGCGTGCATTTTTTTTTTTTTTTTAAATACAAGAGTCAGTCCAGGAGGGCTTTGTCCAGGGGGCACATGAGCCCTGAGAATGCCTACCTGACAGTCCGTACCCAGGAGGCCCCATCTTCCCCCAAACTCCGCGGGTGTCGCCTCCGTGGGCCTGATGTGATTCATTGTTCACAGGGTGACTTGGCCTCATCGGACGTCTCCCTGGTCATTCAGAGTGATCGCTCCCGTCATCAGTGTCCCTCGCGCTCTGCCTGCTGTCTCGTTGCTGTCGACAGGGTCTGAGCAGGATGGACGTGTGGCTGGAGCTCTGGGTGGTTTTTCTTTCTGGCCTCTCAAGCTTGAGCTTTGTGCTCCTGAAGGCAAGCCTGGGCCTCGCACAGGTTTGTGGCAGTGTGGATGCTAGGCTGTGTGGTGGCTGTAGTCAGGCAGATTCCCCGTCCCTGTGCTTCAAGTGCCTCGTCTCCACGGGCGTCGTGGGGTGGGGAGAGATGCTTACGGTGGGGTCTGCAGCGACCCGAAATCGTATTGAGTTACAAATCGATCGTCTTCCTAAATTCTGAAGTCAGGGGACAGTCGGCGTAATTGACCTGCTGTGGAGCTTGGCTGGCTCGTGTCATCGTAGGAGTTTATTCTGCAACGTGCCTTATTCGTCTTATCAACACAAGGTCATGTTCCTCAAAGCACAGGTTTGTGCCAGTGTGGATGCTAGGCTGTGTGGTGGCTGTAGGGGGCCACACTGCTGGGCTTCTAGCTATCTCTGAAGGCCATTTAGGATTATCTAGGGAACAGTTTTAGAGTCATTAGGGAATGATTTTTAGATTGTCTAGGAACAGTTGGGATTGTCTAGAGACAGGGTCATCTAGGGAACAAGGGACAATTGAACACTTCCATAGAATGTCGGTGGAAGAAATACAGGTGCGTAAGAAAAGAAGGAGGACAAGAGGAAGGAAGGTGGGTTTGTCCTTCCCTCCCTGGTGGCTCTGTCGCAGGAAGTAGGCATAAGCACGAGACTTGTGCAATAGGAGGCCACGTTCACGGCCACTCCCACAGCTGACTGGTCAGGCACGTTTTATGCTCTCAGGTGGAACATGGCAGAACCACCACAGCTTGAAAGATTGTGACACAGGGTGGATTTTTTTAGGGGGAAGGGCTGACTAACAGCTGGAGCCCTTCCACCCTGCTCCGTGGCCGCTGTGAGGGAAGATGAGCCCATCACACTGCTGAGGCGGGTGACGAGTGGGATCACTTCTCAGCACTGGAGGTGGGGGACCCTAGCTGGGGGTCTGGCAGCCTCTCCAGATCCCATTCCTGCTCTGTAAAGGGGGAGTTGCCAGGGGACCTGCAGGAGCTCCGAGTGGTGCCTGCTGGCACTCAGTCAGGGTCAGTGGAGGGAGGCTGGGTTCGTCATAGTCACCCCCTACTTGTTCTGGGGAAGTATGTGCCAAGCCCCCTAGTGGATGCCTGGAACTACAGGTGGTGCCAACTCCTATGGATGGTTTTTTCCTCTGTATCTATGATAAAACTTAATTTCTAAACTAGTAAGTTTGTAAAAACAGAAACTCACTGTAGATCTCAGCAACCTCCGCCTATGATTCTTTTTCTTTGTTAAGTCAGGAATTTTTACCTTTTTGTAGAGTGAGCACTTTACAGCTGCTCTTTGACATGTTTAAATTGCCAGCATCACTACTCTGGTGACTTGGGGCTCTTACTAAGTAAAATAAGGGTTACTTGAACACAATCGTTGTGATATTACCCAACCTGATGGCTACCAAGTGACTAACTGGCAGGTAGTATATAAAGTGTGGATACTCTGGGCAAAGGGATGACTCACATACTGAGAGGATGAAACAGGACAGTGTGAGGTTTCATCACACACTGCTCTGAATGGGGCTCAATTTAAAACTTATAAACTGTTTATATCTGGAATTTTTGGACCTCACTGAACCACAGGAAACTAAAAACACAGAATATGAATCTGTAGGAAAGGGGTACACTCTACTGTACCTACCGTTGTTACCACTCTCAGTGACTCTTTACCTCCTGTAAGTTGGTGGTTCATTGCTGTATGAACAAGACTCTCATCGTTAACCAGGTACTTGGAAGGTGCAACTGATTTATTCTCTAATAAGGTTTCTGGGTTTCTTTCAGGCGGAGGCCAGGCTTGCAGCAAAGCGTGCGGCCCGCGCTGAGGCTCGAGAGATCCGGATGAAGGAGCTGGAGCGGCAGCAGAAGGAGGTGAAGTGGGGGTTCTTGGTTGACTCCTTCACAGTAGTTTTAATGTAGGCACAGTGTGTAAATGCCGGGCACCTGTCGCTGCTGACCACCTGTCCCTTCCCATTGCTCTTGGTTAGAAGGCAGTTATGCAAGTCCAGGAAGGAGTGTGCATAGCGCGGATGCCTGGCATGCCTGCTGCCAGCACAGGGCCTGGTGCATCCTGAGACCAGCTTACCAGTCACTTGCCTGCAGAGTCTTCCCAGCCCTGCTTTCTGGCTGAGAGGAGCCAAAAGGAGATGGCTCTGAACTTTAAGGTCTAACTATTGAACTAGGCTCTAGATCCTCTGAGTTAAAATGGAGAATGACAAAGGTCAGTTTTGCTTAACTGGGCAGCTTGGTTCCCATGCAGCCCTTTCCCCTGGGGTCTCTCAGTGTTACCTAGTGGTCCAGAGCACAGAGTGAACATCGTGGACCAAGTGGCCATGCAAGACCTGCCCTCTGGGAACAGGGACGGTGGTGTGTTTACACACCAGGTCTTGCCGCTTGCTGCTGGTTTGCACTCTCCCAAGCCAGGGCCAGAAGTCATTCCTGACATATGTGGGGTCATCACTCACGCTAGGGGATGAGGCACTCTGGCCCCACCCCAAAGGGCTATTCCTTTTGAGATCCAAATGTGTGGTGCTGGACACAGGTGACCACTGCCTGCCCTGGGCTGGTTTCCGTGCCCAGGTTCTGGTTTGGCTCACATGGCCGCACTAGCGGTTGAGCCAGTGTTCAAGGCCTCCGAGATTTCCAGTGAAAGCCTGGATTTCTGGTTCTCTTTAGACTGTTGCAGATTTGGCCCCTCCCAACAGGGGCCAAGCTGGTCACATTCCTCTTGGCCTGGCCTCCAGCCTGAGGAGGGATGCCCACCGCCCCCCGCATCACCCGCGGAGTTTGCCGCTCCCCGTGGACATGTGTGAGCAGAGGCGGGATGTGGCCAGATGCACGTTTGGGGAAGAAAATTCTTCCAGGAAGTGTGAGAATGGTTGCAGAGTACTGGAAGCCCAAGCCCAAGGGGTTTCTTCCCAGACGGGAAGGGAGGACAGGCCCCAGGGGAGTCCGGCACAGCCGGGGCACTGAGAATGGGGCTCCTCAGAGATAGACCACGAGTCCTGTGCAGGGACAGGGAGCAGTAGCCACGCCTCACCCACATTCCAAGGGGTGCTGGCCCTATGTTGACATGGCCCTGAGTGACCAGTGGCCAAGGGTGGCCCGAGTCTTCCTGCGTGGGCGTGAGAACTGTGGTCCTGAGCTGGGGTCAGGGTTCAGCACCGCAGCTCCTCGGGCTCTTGCCCTGGTTCACTCCCAGCAGCACAGGGCAGAGTACTCGCCGCAGCACCTCTCTCCCCTCAGATCAGTCATCACTTTACAATCGAAAACGGGCACTCCTCAGTTTTCAATCATTTGAACTTCACAATTGAACTACGACCTCACAGACAGCCCCGCCAGGCTTAGGTCCACGCTGGGTCTCCTGGGGATTGGTGCCTGCACTCCTGGGTGGGGCCTGACCAAGAGGGATTCCCCAAGGGCCCTCACGAAACTGTAGAGAAGAAGCATTCGGAGTGGGAAGGGGAGAGAGGGAAGGGGAGGAGAGGAAGAGGCCGTGCCGCTCTGTGAGCCACTGTCACAAGGCTTCTGAGACGGGATCCCCAGGCCCTGGGCCCATTCCAAAGTAGTTCTCGTGTTCTGAACTGGTTTTTAAAAATGTATTTTTTAAACTGCCTCATGTTGGTGTCTCTACAGAACATTTTTGCTTGCTCAGTAGATGGTCGCAAGCCCACCGTGTGTGGGAGGGGGGACACCGCTAGTCCCTCCCGTGGTGTTCGGAAGCTCATGGCAGCTGGCTGTGAGGCAGGCGTCTCAGTGGGCTACAGGTTCCCTTGCTCTGCTTTTCTGTGTGGGGGGTGGGTGCTGGAAATTGGACCAGGGTGCTCCACCAGGGAGCTGGATCCCCAGGCCTCCTTATTTTTCTTTTGAGATGGGGTCTTGCTGAGGCTGGCCTGGATCTCACGGTGCTCCTCCTCAGCCTCCCCAGTTCCTGGGATCACAGGTGCCTGTGCCACCGTACCCAGCGGGGCCACCGTACCCAGCGGAGCCTCCCTTTCTTGGGCCGAGTCAGTTTTCAGCTTCCTTCTCCAGGAGCCCTGTGGAAGCCAGCCCCTGTCACTGTGGCCAGCACCCCCCCCCCCCCCCGCTCCAAGGCTCACCCAGTTTTAGACCACTTCCCCTGGTCTCCCACAGTCCCCTGGTCTGTTTTGTATTAAGGTCATCTAAGAGCTATAAGAAGAATTTCCAAAAATGTTCTGTTGCTCTGACAGTTGACCATACTTACGTCCCCTACCTGTCACTGCTTGTAGCCTGTGGCCGTCATCTGAGCTGCATTGTTAGAGCCAAACCAAGGATTCTGCACAAGTAGAAGCCAGTGCTGCAGGTGGGACCCCGTGGGCTCCCCACAGTGTTTGTGATCATGTCCTCATGAGTGACTCCCACCAAGAGTGTAAATATGAAACTCTACAAAGCCAATGTTTTTTATTTTTTTACTGCTATGACCAAAACACTTGACAAGAGCCATTTTAGAGGAGGAAAAGTTTATTTGGGGACTATGGGTTCAAAAGTCTTAGTTCATAGATGGCCAACTCCATCAGGACAGAAGATTGGGGTGGAAGGAGGAGGCTCAGGACATGATAATTGAGAAGCAGACCCCGCTGGTCAGATACAAAATATAAACCCCAAAGGCATGCCCCCAGAAACCCTCCTGCAGCCACACCCCACCTGCCTGCACTTGCCACTCAGGTAGTCCCACTCTGGATTAATTCACTGATTGGGTTAAGGCTCTCATAACCCAGCCATTCCACCTCTAAGCCCTCTTGCCTTGTCTCACACAGGAGCTTTTGGGGGACAGCTCATATGCAAACTATCAGAGTCAAGGTGAAAGTGAACTACAGAGTGGTGTATACACGTCTATCTTCCAAATTAAGCACACATCTAGATAGGATATATTCTGTCTTTAATGCTGGACAGAATTGTTTTGAATATATGCATGATGACATTACAAAGTTCTTGGTACAAGTTGCCTGTCAGCATGCCCGTGTCCGCTGCAAAGCAGGGCAGAGCGAGCCACATCCTCCTCTTGTGCTCTGAGTGAAAGGTGTCTCCTTGGTGCCAGGTTCAAGCAAGTCCAACAATGTGGTGGACACCTGTGTCAGCTAGAGTGGCCCAGAGAGAGAAGCAGCACTGTCCATCCACCTGCTTCTCATTGACCCCTCTCTAGGGTGCACATGTCTTTATGTGCCCAGCTGTGTACACATCTGGAGAGGACAACGGGAGCAGCTAACAGGCCTGAACATGTGGCCTGGACACTGAAGATACCTCCGCAGACTGCTGTGCCTGGCCTGTCCAGGGGCCTGGCTATTATTAGAACTAGCAACACAATTTGAGCTTATACCATCTGATAGCCCGGGGCACTGGCATTTTAAGTTGTTGATTAAGGGGAAATGAATATGCTTTGGAAGACCAGTGTTTAACCAGGAGGGTTGATATTTGGTGTAAAATTTGAGAAACATGATCCTTGTCTGCTTGTGCCCCCTGCTGCTGCTGAGCTGTTAGCTCTCTCTGAGAAGGGGGCTGGACACAGGAGGCCCAGAGGAGGAGCAGGAAGACTAGGAGGGCGGGGCCCTTGCCCTGACCCAGGAGGACTTGCAGAGTGTGCAGCAAGGAGCAAAGCACAGGGTGGCATGCGCCCTCCTCTGGATGCCCGCCGGCTCTTCTCACAGTGCCACTACCTGAGCAGGGCTTTGGGGCTGTTTACAGAGGTAGGAACTCCTTTTTTAATGGGCGTGTAAGAGGAGAATAGCAGGAAGACATCGTCTTGGAGATGGCAGTGAACCTTGAACTTCACGGGAGAGCCTGCACTGGTGGAAGGGTGGCCCAGGGCGTGTCCTTCGCGGTCCTGCCTTCACACCTGGGTTGGAGGACTGTTTCGGGGCAGCGATGGGTGTGCTTGCCTGTGCTCTCCTGTGTGCCCTCAGAATTTGGGCCATGCCTGGAACCATGGCAGACGCCAGGTGCCTTGTGGAGTGAGTGTGGAGGACACTGCACTGGTGTCACTGAAGATGAGGAGCCCCGGAGCAAACTGACAGCCCAGACGGTGATCGCGACCTCTTTTTAAATATTCTAATTCCATTCTAAAGGTCACTGTGTTTTGCTGGAATTTTTCTGGTGTTCTCTCTGTGTTAGCATGAATCATTGAAGCCTCTTTCTTCATTATTTGTGAATTTTACCAGTTGATTTTATTATTAAGTGTTTACAATTTCTGGTTAAACTTTCATGACTACAAAAGAGAATTTCAATACAGGTAAAAAAGTACTTTTCCCATTAATGGTAACAGATTGCACACACTTCCGTGTAAGAACAACAGTGGGAGTCTAGTAGACCGGCGTGGGTAAGCCTGGGTTTCACCAGTGTGTCTAAAACAATGTAGAGTGAGTGATAAAGTGACTAATTCTTTCAATGAGATTTCAACCTTTTTTGATTCATATTTTACCAGCCTTCGTTCTTCCCAGGATGGCTTTTATTCACATTTCTGGTTCCTTACAGCACCTTTCTGACGCTCCTGCTGCTTTAATGGGACTTACCTCTCTTTCCCTCTCTTTTGTCCCTCTCTGTAGATCTATCAGGTTCAAAAGGTAGGCCGTCCCCTGGCTGATGGCATGCGCTGTGTCCCGCCCGCCTGCTCCCCTGCCAGCGGTCACGCTTTGCACTGAATCTCCGCGTGGCCCTCGCTGTGTGTTGGCGTTGGAGTGAGAGTGCTTTGGGTCCCCGTCCACCGTGGACAGCTATGCTTGCACTTTTCTGGGTACTGAGCCCTTCTCTCTTCTCCATTTTTCTTCAAGAAATCAGAAAACTGTATCATAGAGAAAAAACTGAATCCTAACTCAAAATCTGAGGAAACCTCTGAAATCACCTAGATTATCTTTCCAGACAACTTTATTAGAAAACCTTTAAATATCCATACAAATTACCACACGTGGAGGGATTACTAGATACTGACTTTAAAATCTGAGTAAAAAAGAAAGTGAAGAGGACACCACCTCGCCCAGCTTAACAGAGACCTGTCCTCCACGTCCCGGGGTCAGGGTCCCAGAGGACTCGCCTCCCTGTTCCTGGTGTTGTGTGGAAGCAGCTGAGTCTTAAAGTAGGTACCAGACAGGAAATAAAGGCAGGACAGGCCCTGTCAGTGATTTAGGGTTCAGAAGTAGCGGAATGAGGAGCGACCTGCTCAGGGAATCCGCGTACAGCAAGTCCTTCCCATAAAAGAGTCGAGTCTGTTACTTAGAACATCATCTACAATAGTTTCTGACTCTAGTTAAAGAAGAATAACTGTATCTTTCTCTTAGAGCAGATAAGAAAATCACAATAAAGGGCTGGGGTTGTGGCTCAGTGGTAGAGCACTCGCTTAGCCCATGTGAGGCCCTGGGTTCGATCCTCAGCACCACATAAAGATAAATAAATAAAGGTACTGTGTCCATCTACAGCTACAAATAAATAAAATAAAGCCATTGTGTTCATCTACACCTAAAACATTTTTTAAAAAATCAGAATAAGGTCGCTGAGTTTCAGAGGTTAGAGCATCAGGCCTGATAAAGGCACTGCCGTGATTTCCTGGCCTGCCGTGCAGGATTCCTCTGCTCGCCCAGGTTCTGGGTGCCTTCCGGGCCCTCGCTCTGCCTGTCTGCTTTGTAAACACCAGAATCTGCTTGCACTGTTAGGTTCTCTAGTGTCCAAGTATTGAAGTGGACATTGAAGCCCGGGTTCCAAGTCAGCATTTGAATCAGAATTCACTGGTTCGAGGGAAGCTGGGAGCCCTCACTGTCACTGTAGGAGCAGGACATTGCTGCCCCAAACCCAGCCAGAGGCTTGGCTGGTCGCTCCACTGAGTCTGTTCCTTCCCTGCTCTGCATCACTGGGGTACCAGGACTGCTGGTGAGGACGCTGTCAGAGGTGACACTGTGTGCGGCAGGAGCTAAGAGCCCGCAGGCCCCGTGGAGGAGCATGCACAGTTCTGTAGTGAGTGTGTCCCCAGGAAGGGAAGGGAAGGCATTCCTTGTCACTCAGAGTTATGAAGAGGAAAAGGAGACAGTCAACAGTCTCTCCTGGCCCAGTGGCTGATGGGCATGATGGCTCCCTGACCCGGAGCCCTTTCTGAAGGTCTCTTGCCTCCCTCTGCATGGCTCACTGGCTGATGGTGAGGTTTGCATTTGAAGTACTCTGCACTCCCTGGGGTGTGCTGTGAGCCGCTTGCTGCCCTCACCAGGGCTACCGTCCAGTGGCACTGGGTGCTCTGGGGTGTCTAGGCTGACCTGCAGTGAGGCAGCTGTCGATAAGGCCACCTGTGGGCTAGGTGAAAGACTTTGAATTCTGGTTCTCACTCTTATCATTAAAAAGGAATTAGATGTAGTGTAATGTTTGATGTAAGTGTAGAGTGGGACAAAAGAAAAATAAGGAAATAGAAAAATTGGCAGTATAGACTTCCTGTGAAGTTTAATGTGAACATCCCTCTGTTTTAAAAACATGCATTTTCCTGCTGTCTTCACAATTGGAAGAGGAGATTAAGGTAAAAGAGGTGTGGAGGCACCTGTTCATCCTGCAGGTCCACAGCAAGGGCAGAGCGCACATGAACTGGCTGCAAAGCAGCTTTAAGATGGTGCGTTCACTGAAATTGAAGTTGAAACGTGACTTTGGAAAGTGTTTGCTTTTTTCCTTTTCCGAATTCATGCCTAAGGAGAGAGTTTACGGAGAGAGGCAGCCGTGTGGCTGATGGCATAGAGCTCGGTCTGGTGGCTTTTTAAAGGCATGGTTCAGTGCCCACTCCTAGTTCCTCCTCTTCCAGTTTTCTCCATGGTGCCTTCTCTAAGAAAGGAGCAAGACCGTCGGAGAGCCACAGGTCAGTCTGGCCACCCTTCAAGATGCAGCTGCGCCAGACACGGCAGCAGTGTGTTGGGCAATTGGAAAACCATTACAAGTTACCTTGTACCTCTACCATCCAATTCTTTTTTTCAGATTATAAGATTTTAATAATGTAAAAAGAAAAATCACTTTTGTTATATGTCTTAGAGGTTCAGTAGACTATTCCTTGATTTCCTTACTGAAAATTGAGGGGAAAGTATAGAAAAAAGCAAAATCCCATAATCTGAGGTGGAAATTTGAACACCTGAGTTCCCACCTGAGTTTGGGGTCACTGTATTCAGTGACATTGACACCCCTTCTGAACCTTCTCTTCTAAGTCTGACATGGACCATGTTGTTCAGACAGCAAGGTAGAGACATGCGCCATCAGCTCCAGCAAGCCCCAGACACACCTGGAGGTCTGAGTGTTTCTCTTCCTGCACCAGGACTTCCTCTGAGGCACTGGGCGCCTTCCCATGAGCAGGCTATAAAGTGCGTGATCCTCTGGGCCTGCCGTCAGCACAAATGTCAGCTGGCACACAGGGGCTAGGCCCCGGGGCCAGCACAGGGCCTCCCCCTTTCCTCTGGGACCTCCTTCCTCCTGCACAACACGGAATGGCTCCCAGCTGCGCTTCTCCTCCACGGTGTTTCTTCCTCCTGCGTGTTTGCTCTGAAGGCATGCACAGCTTTCCAGGGGGGGCTGGCAGTGCTTCCCGGTCTCAAGGCCGCCCCTCGCCCAGCAGTGCTTTGTCCTTGCTCCCTGGCCTGAGGGATGGAGTGGGTGGGGTCTCTTCACGCTCCACCTGCACCAGGTGGCCACGGCTTCCTCTCTGACCTCCTCACCTTGGCATGCTCCCTCCACCCTGCATGTCTGGGCGGTCTCCTGGGCAGTTTGTTTCACTTCTGGCCTAATTTTCCTTCTCTTCTGTCTGTAGAAATATTATGGACTGGATACAAAATGGGGTGACATCGAGCGGTGGATGGTAGGCCTCAAATACAATTTCAAGACTTAAATGGTTTATAATTTAATCCTCATGCAGTTAAGTTATGCAGATAGATTCCTGCTGCACCATAATCTGATACTGAGAGATTTCCATTCAGGCATTTCTGCATCTGGTCTAGGATTGTTTACCTCCATGTACATCTTGCTCAGACACCACCCTGGCCACCCAGCCGGGCCCATCCGTCTGTACAGCTGACTGCTACCGTCTTCAGGCTACCCATGTGCAGGGTCCTTCACCACAGTCCCCACATGTCCTAGGGCCAGAGACTCAGGATGGGCACGTGTCCTTGACACGAGAACTTCCTGTTATCATCAAGTTTTGCCATGTTCTTGTTGGAACCAGAAGAGGCTTAAGACTTTTTGACTGTGGCCAGCTGCTGCCCTTCAGGGTCAGGTGGCCACCCACACCGCTCACATTGGTGAGAGAGGTCCTTTACCTTTTCTGTCTATTTCCTAGGACAGCCCCTCTGCCTTCCTGGGTCAGTTGAAAGTGAGCTCTGTCCTCTGGCCCTCTCTGCAGGAGAGGGGACCCCGCACCCCGGTGCTTTCAGTGGTCCCCAGAGCCAGGCTCTGCCCCTATCATTAGCTCCTGTCCTGCCTGCTGGGCTGGCGGCCTCATGCTCCACATGCTCCAGAGTTTGAGAACCTGGCCAGGGTGGAAATGTCCTCTTCTGTGTTCCTCATGGATGAAGACAGTCGGAGGGAAGCACAACATTCTCCCTTAGTCACCTGCATATGGCAGGAAAGAGAACTGAGCAAAGAGCACACCTTCCTGTTTTTAAAAAGTGACTGACTTCCCCCTGTGTCACCCATCACGTTATCTAATTTCACACAGGTGGATGTATTTTCATCAAATCTTAAGACAGCTAAAAGATGTGTTAGTGTTTTGTGTACCACTGAGAAAGAAAAGGTGCTCGTGGTACCTGTGAGCAGCTTTGATTATTAGACATACCCCAGCTTCAGAGATGTCCAAGATGGAAACTGCGTGTCTGAGATTCCACAGAGTAGAAGAGACGAGGTGACGTCCTCCTTGGGGTTTTGGGTTGACTGGTTGGTTTCTTGAGGAAATGATTCCTGCAGAAGAGTGAGGTTCTGAAGTAAGGGAAAACCTAGGACCCGAGCATGTGGTTAGAGAAACTCAGCCTTGACCTCTGCCCCGTGCTCACTGCCTTTGAAGCCAGAGTGAAGTGTGCCATTTGTGGCTTGAGAGCCCGGCTCCTAGGAGGAAGCCTTCCCAGGGCTTAGCTGAAGCCCTTCAGTGAAAGCAACAAAATGTTTATTTGCCAGTTAGATCAGAAAGTCTGTACCGTGTTGCAGAGGGACTGTCTGAGCTTTCTGCTTCCCCGGGCCTGTCTCTAACCTTTCCCTGCTGTCCCCGTTGCTGCGGTAGGAGGACAGTGAGCGCCACTCTCGCAGATCCCGGAGAAGCACGTCGGTTAGTACCAGTTTGTTCGCTACCTGTGCGTTTTGATCAGTCTGCTTTGCTCTTTTAAGTGACTGAAGTACCCACGCTGCTTATGAAAAGACTTTACTAGTCCTGACATAATGCTGGAAGGGTTCCCGAGCACAGACTGGGAACTCTGCCTGCAGCATGTTGACATACCGCAGTGAGGAGGAGAGCTCTGAGTGTTCGTGTGCTCGGCATCTGAAGTGCTTTTTCTGCTATCAAATATCCATGAATAATTTTCGTAGTAATAATACCCTGAGGTGTATTTATAACTTACCTGTTAGTGACCTGTGGGGTAAATAGCACCACATTAATGGAATTTACTTAAATTCATATTATCCATAACAATCCTAGACAAGCAGAGGTGCACACAGCCCATGTCACCAAAGCCCTGACTCAAGTCCCCGGCCCCTTCGGAGGCGGCCAGCCCACCCCACCGCTGTGGCCTCGGCTCAGCCTTGTCCCTCGGAGCCTGGGGCGTCTGTCTTTGGGTGTTGTCTTATCACTTCACGGTGGTTTTCCATCCTTTCTTCCAACAGGCTTCTGATGAAGATGAGCGCATGTCCGTGGGTAGCCGCGGCAGCCTGAGGGTCAGTAACCGGAGCAATGGGGTCCGCATGCAGTGTGTGTGGCTGAAGCCTGGGCTTTGACATCCTGCCTCGCCTCCTGTTCCCGCACGGTGGCCCGCCAGTCGGTGTCTGACGGGGGGATGCTGGCTCAAGTCTGGTGGCTGTGGGGGTGTCTCTGCTGGGTGTCTCGCGCTTGTCCTGGGGGAGTGCTGGTGTGGTGGCTGCTCCCGGAGCGCAGCTGCCAGGTTTCAGTTGTTTCCCTCGCTCAGCGTTGTCTGGGCACTGCCAGGGTGACCAGCAGGAGTGTGAAGGCACCTGCAGTCCTTGGACAGGTCTGTGAGCCCACTCACACACCCCTGGAAGTGGCCGCCTTGGTCACAGTGGTGTGAGTTCGTCTGATTCTGTGCTGTTCCCGTGGCAGCAGGGGGTGCCTGGCGGAAGGGCTAGACCCAGGTTTGCCCTCGGGACCCCTCCTCTCATCAGCAAGGATGCTGAAAACAGTGGTTTCTCCTTGACTTTCCAAAGGCCTCATGGGTGCACCTGACACGGTGCGCGCTCTGGGACACACGCAGGGCCACGGTCCTGCTTAGTACATCAGCCTGAGCATCTTGCTCCCGTTCACGTGGGTTGAAGGCGCGTCTCCCACTAGCAAGGAGGACTGCAGGGTTGAAGGCGCGTCTCCTGCTAGTGAGGAGGGCTGGTCCCAGGACAGCAGGTCCGTTTTGCCGATGAGCTGCCTGAGTGGGAACCTTGCTTTTCAAAGCTGTGACAGTGATGTCACCAAGCCACCCCTTGGCCAGGTCTGTGCTTGCCGAGCAGCCTCTTGAGGCAGTGCATTGTGCTGTTGAACCACCATTGCTGTCACTGACTCTTCAGTGGCAAACGCGGGTCCCCTATGATCTTGCTGGACAGCATCCCTCTGAAGCAAGTGCCCCTTTGCTATTTGGAACTAGCTAACAGTTGTAAGTCCCTCTGACACAGTCCACTGTAGACAAGGAAGATCTGTGTGACCAAAATGCCGTAGATGCAAAGCTTGTGAGCCGAGCCTGTGGCCAGGACACAGACGTGGCAGCTGCTGAGCAGACCCAGCAGGCCAGGGCCAGACACCAGGTGGGGAGGCACAGCTGCAGGGCCAGGGGAGCGGCTTGCTGAGGGCGGAGCAGAGACGTTGGGTGTAGCATCCTGATTCTGCCAAGAGAACCCTTGAGAAAGGAGTGGTGAGAGCAAAGCTGAACTGACAGGGATAAGAGAGATTGGGGGGGGGGGGGTAGCGGATCCAGACCTCTGTTGGAGTGCAGTGTCGTCAGATCCGTGATCCTGAGAGAGTGCATGAGCACTGTGTGCACTTAGTTTTTCGGGGAAAAGAATTTCCACTTTCCTGAGACTCTCAGAGGGTTCTCTGACCCCAGAGGGTCTGACCGATGGCAGTGCTGGTGAGCATTGCGGCGTCACGCGGCCTTCATTTTGCTTCCAGCCACCTTTGCCAGGAATGAACTAAGTCTCTTTGCGGACGCTGTTCCTGGCCAAGGTATGGGGTGTATTTGTCTCTGGGTAGGAAGCCTCACGAGGAGTCCACAGTTAGAGGGCTGTCTGGGGGAGAGGGGGAGTGGAAGGTTGTCATCCCAGCCAGGTGGCTGCACTACTCTTCCCCTCATGGACTCCGCCTGAGTGCCTCAGAACTTCAGTCCCACAGAACCTGAGGCTGTGGACCTGGAGATGAGAGCCCATCCCCCCCTGATGGTCACAGTGCGTGTAAGAGGCCTGCTCAGGGTCTCAGCCCTCAGTGATAGCCCCAGCTCCCCTCCCCTGGGGCCTGGTGGGAGGTGCTGGTTGGTGCCCCTGAGCAGGGCAGCCCGACTGGGAGGAATCGCACCTCCCGCATGTCTACATGAGACCTACTTAGGCTGGCTTCATGCATTTTAATACTCTGAAATCTTTTCTTGGTAATTTCTTGTGTAAGATTATATCTTTTATTTCTCACCCCCCCCCCCCCAACACAGGCTTTCCACATTCAGCCAATAATGCTGTTGACCCTGAGAGGGACCAGGGGCCTTGCTGTCCTGGGTCTGTGTGGATGGCCTCACGGAACAGCGAGACTTTGGATATCATGAGCTTTGCATCTCTCCCCCGCTCACCTCGAGTGTGCGGTGCCCGAGGGGAAAGGGCTGCTCAGGCTGTCTGTGAATTGTGGGTGGCTGCCTTCATTCAGCCTCCTCCAGGGCTTTAGGTCCTGGGGGAATGGGGGTTCTGTGTGGCCCTATTCCTCACAGAACTCTTTCAGAGGTGTAGAGAGGTCCTAGAGGTGGTGAGCCAACCTAGTCTAGGTCTCAGCGATGCATTTTTCATGTTTCTCTCCTCTTTTGACTCACCTCCCCTCTCCTTGCCGTTGTTTTTCTTCCTTCCTTGTTCGGACAGTCGCAGCCTGACGTGGAGTACGGGGGTCCCTACGCCTGGGTAAGACACTCGTGTGGACTTTGCCGTGTGATCCTAACCGTGTGCTGTGACAGACAATAACCCGCGATGTTCCTGGAATCTCATGGGTGACTTTGTGAAACACTGTGTGTGTGTCTTGTGCATCTACAATTCAGAGGATGAGGTTAGGAAGGTGGGTCCCCCTCCAGGGTCTGTGATCCATCTCCCGGGGCCTCCTGATCCTCGCACGTGGCCCAGGAACCTGGATGTCCGTGCGCAGACACTCACTCACCAGGTGTCTTCGAGTGCCACTGTCTGGCGCAGGCCCTGTGAGCAGCTCTGTGCATGCCAGACAAGGGGGTCAGTGGGGGCCTTCGGGAAACTCACATCAGATCAAAGATTCCCAAGGCCTCAAATTTCCTTTAAAAGATTGAATGTAACGTCATTTTGCCTGATTTTTAAAAAGCATTTGTTTCTAATCTACAGCCATTCAAATTAATTGGCAACCATTTGGCTCTTCTGCAAAAAAATACTCCTTGAGAAAGACCCCAGTTCCAGTCACAAAAACGGAGGCTTTTGATTTAAACTTGGAATTGCTGTTTTTATAAATCCGAGAGTTTCTGTGCCTTATGCTTTCTGAAAACCTGTAAACTTTATTCTTAGAAGAAGAAAAATTCAGTCTGACTAGAAAGCACAGCTCAGCCAAAGGTGATTTGGTACTGAAGTCAGCATATTAGACAGGAAATCGCATTAAAGACATCATTTCAAAGCCTTTTGTGCTTATCTATTACTACTTCATTTAAAACTTATTTGACACATTCCTGTTTTAGAACGTATTTTTGTATTTAAGGTAATGGTTAGGAACAAGAGCTGTGCACCTGCCCTGCGTGTTTGGTCCTCCAGGGGTCCCCAGTTCTGGGTGGAAGGGATGGCTGAGGAGGACCATCTCCTGTGGCCACTGCAGCCGTCCTGGCCTGGTGAGGTTGAGGCCAGCTAACTCCTGCAGGAAGCACAAGGCACGATGAGATTCAGGAAGCATCCCTCACAGAGCATCTGTCACTTACCTATAGAGCCCTTCTGTAGTGCCCTTGTGTGGCAGTCCTTCTGTTCTCTAAGGAATTGAAAGTACTGGCAACCCTGTTTTTCTTTTTTTAATATTTTTTTAGTTGTAGGTGGACACAATACCTTTATTTATTTATTTTTATGTGGTGCTAAGGATCAAACCCAGGGCCTCGCGCATGCTAGTCGAGTGCTCTACCACTGAGCCACGTCCCCAGCCCCTTGACAACCTGTTTTTAGGTGGCTCCTGGCCACCCTTTGTGTTTTTTTTTAATATTTATTTTTTAGTTCTCGGCGGACACATCTTTGTTTGTATGTGGTGCTGAGGATCGAACCCGGGCCGCACGCATGCCAGGCGAGCGCGCTACTGCCTGAGCCACATCCCAGCCCCACCCTTTGTGTTTTAAACTCACAGTGCATTTTGCTTCCAGCCAGTCCTTGATGGGTGGGTGTGTAGGTGAGCTGGGTCAGGAGCGTGCTTTGGCTTTCACTTCCTAGTGCCTCTCTTTTTAACCTTGTCCATCCTCTGCTGGACAGTGCTGGTCTGTGAATGTCCTCTCGTATTCCCTCCAGCAGTGTTCCTCTGTGTTGCTGCACCTGGAAGCTCCCTATAAAACCTTGCTCCTGGATCCTGGCAGCATCCAGTTTCCTAGGTCAGGGCCTGTGTCCCTGAGAAGTATGGCAGTGGCCGTGACACAGGGCGCCTTCAGACTGCCCTCTCGTAGCCTTGACCAGTGAATAGCATGCAGAAGGGGACACCACACAGGAAGGAGAGAGAGACTTTGTCGAGCAGAACTAGAGACCTGATGTCAGGTGGCATTGATACGCTGCCTGTGGGCACTTTATGGTCTTCTGGTCGACCTCTCTTACCATCATGCCCTATGAAGTAGCCCCACCCACCCAAATGCACCATTCAAGAGGAGAGGGTGGTGGCGGTCCGTAAGAAGGTCAGACTGCTTCTCACTACAGGGTCAGCGAGACCCTGTAGATTTGGGGATGTGGAGGTACAGCGGATTAAGTCATTTGCTTAAGGGTTTCCGTTTGGAGTTTGGGACTCGGGTCCATGACCCAGTGGCACCTCCTTCATCTTCATCAGGTGTGTGGATGGCTCCCCCTCTTTCTCCCTCTGGAGCTGGTTAAGTCTCTGACGCTTGAGCTGTTACCTTGAATCAGCAGAAGTTTCCTTCTAGACTGATTAGAGCCTTTCCTTATAGCCCTGCTTTTGCTCCGGACTTGGGCAGGGAGACAAGAAGGAGGGGGAGAAGGCAGGCGTTTAACATGCTCGTCCTCTTTTACTCCTGGAGCACGGATTATGAGATCATTAGGGATGTGCTCAGGTCTCAAGATGAGACATGAAGTGGGAGGACTGGGAATGGAGAAGTAGTAGAGAAAATGTCGTCCACCAGCAACAGTTTTTCTTTGGTGAACTTTTGCATTTAATTGCAGATTGATTAGAAACAATTTCTGGATCTCATGAAGGTATTTCATACTAAGCTGTAATGTTCCAGAACTTACCCTGAACCAAGACCTGAAATCTCTGACTGAGTCTG